GCTGCATTAAAGGGAGCCTCGTAGAAAGGACACACGCAGTGTGTGCAGGTCCCTCCCCTGCAGTGTCCTGGGTGTCTGCCAGTGCAGAGGGCCCATCTCTTCAAGTTGTGCTGCAGACTCAGTTGAAGCTGGCGGAGGATCTGGGTCCTCACTGTGCACCTTCTTCTTGACCTTTGCCTCCTGGAGGTGTGACCAGTGGGCTCCTCCCCCACAGGCAGATCTGCCTGGAGGAAAAATCAAGGCCCCGCAGCAGACTCCCACAGCCTCAGGCCCGCAATTCAGTGGTTGTGTTTCCCCTGATCACAGGGAGGTTTGACTCTCCTCTGGAATTAGAAGCATTTGACTAGCAGGCCTTGAGGAAGACAGGCTTCGTTCTCCCAGCCCGCTGGTCCTGTGCCCCGTCTGCAGACTACCCTTCCCAGTGCTGGGGCCCAGGGCAGTTCTCTCAGGACGTGGTTGCCTTGGAGTTAAGACTCAGCTTTGTCTTCTGTTAGCTGGCCCCTCAGTTTCAGCTGGTCTCGGCACTCGGTGCTGAGCCAGGTTCTGTGGCACCACCAGCCACAAGGAGAGCAGGAGGGCTCTTTGTCGTGGGAGGTGGGGCTTGAGGTAGATGGTCTACACTGTGAGCTTCTGTTGTTTCCATTCTCAACCCAGCTCTGCCTCTCCTGTGTGAGAAGTTCTCAGGTGTCACGTGCACACACTGCCGGGTGCCCCTGAGCTCACGGTGCAGAGTCTCAGCGCTACTCTTGGCTGTGTCGCGCTCCCCGTGGGTCAGCAAGGCGATCTTGCGGTCGTTCTTGATGTCCTCCCCAAAGCCCCTATGGGACGTTGACTGTGAGATGGGGTGAGTCCTGAGGGGGACATCTTGGGAACACCGTGCATCTGGGCTCTGTAAAGTGCTGCGGCTTGTGTCCCCCCTGGACTCACAGCCTCCCTCCGCAGGGTGGAGGCAGCCGGGCAGGTGCGTGGTGGGTGAATCTGCAGTGGCAAGTGAGCCTTTTTGTGTTTGCCTTTCTGTCTCTGGTTGGTCATGTGGAAAATTTGCTGGAGTTTCTTTGGCTTTTTGTTTTTCCTGCAGAAGGTAGCTTGCCCC